CCCCTCAGCAGTGTATTTCAGTCAGTCTGCCTGTTCTGCTCCTCACTCTGTCTGTGGTGAATCCTCTCATCCCTCACACCTCTGGCCTGCACCCCAGATCTTGTATGCATAATAAATAAATCTTAAAAAAAAGAAAAATGAAGTAATTGGTCTGAGTTCCTAAGTGATGGCCCTCAAGCTCTTGCCTGGTACATTCCTGAGTGATGGGAGTGGGGAGCACCATTTGGTCTTTGTACCCAGATCCTGACACAGATCTCCTAATTCCCTTGGGCTTTCCTGGGTGATAGGAAGGAACATTTTTGTTTGAAGGAAGTGGTTCTTGATAGGCTCCTAGATTATAAGTCCCAGGATGGGCTGCTCAAGGAAAAACTAAACTGTGATTAGAACCTTGGAATTTTTACCGCTGACCTGTGCAGAGGAGGTGGGGTTGGAGATTGAGTTAATAATCAGTCACAGCTAGACGATGAAACCTCCATAAATATCCCTAAAGTATGGGGTTCGGAGAGCTTCTGCCTTTATGAACTTGGACAAATTATTTCATTATTCCAATGCCACCCATATGCCCTAACTCCCCAGATAAAAAAAGCTCCTATAGTTGGAACTTTCCAGATTTCACCCTTCTACCTCTTCATCAGTATCCTTTATCATATCCTTGATTGTATAAATGCCATGTGTTTCCCTGAGTTCTGTGAATGTTATAGTAAATTATTTGAGGAGAGGGTGTGGGTATCTCCAATTTGTAGCCAAGTCAGACACAGTGTGGGTAACTTGAGGACCTGCTATATAGGACTGGCAACTGAAGTGGGGGCAGTCTTGTGAGACTGAATGCTTCACCTGTAGGATTTGGCCTTAAGTCCAGATAGATAGTCAGAACTGGGTTGTAGGACACCCAGCTGGAGCTGGAAAATTGATCGGTATGGGAAATAACCCACCCATTTGGTGTCAGAATTTTTGTGATAACGGAAACATATTTTTTCCCTTTGAGTGGATCTGGAATATTCCAAGTAGAACAACCCAATTTTAGAGACTAGGATCTTGGGGGGCCAGTGTTCCCAGAAAAGACTGAAAAAGTAAGTAGAACTGAATGTGAAGGCTTTTGGAGGTTAAGGAGTTCGCATTTTCATTTCAAACTATTGACAGTCAGCCAGGAATTGACAGTATCAGGTCTACGCTTAGGCAAAATCATTTTGGCTGACGCAGGCAGAATGGGTGGGAGTGGGGCTAGGGAGGGCAGGGTTTGGCAAACTATGGCTGGTGGACCTGTTTTTGTGCCCACTGTGAGCAAGGAATGAGTTTTTTGCTTTTAAATGGCTGGAAAAAATAAAAAAGGAATATTTTGTGACACATGAGAATTATATGAACTTCAAATCTCAGTAAAATGCAAATAAAGTTTTATTGGCACACTGCCATGTTCATTCACCTATACCATTGTGGCTGCTTTCGACTTTACTGGTGTTGAATGGTTGCCATAGAGACTGTGTAATAGCTATAAAATATCCTTTATTTTGCCTTTTGGCCCACAGAGCCTACCTGTAAACCTTGCTAACCCCTGAATTGTGGGGTGCAATTAGCACTTCAGTTGAGAGGCCTGCACTACAATAGTGATGGTGGCATGGGAAAAATGGGATGCATTTGGAAACTCTTAGGTAGTGGTTATGAGGAATGAAGAGGAGTCTAAATGAGAAAATTATTTTAAAAAATTAAGAAAAAGAGGCATTTAAGACAACTCCCAGATTTCTAGGTTGAGCTAACGTGTGAGAGGTGGTGCTAGTCAGCCCAGGAATACCAAGAGGGAGAGTGGAACTAGGGAGCAGGGGGAGTTTAGTTGCAGGGAGGGGAGAGTGAGAACAGTTTCCAGGTCTACTTTGTGATTATCTGATTCCAGGAGTTCTGCCCTTCCTATGTGTCAGTGAAGACGCAAAGGGCAAGGACATAACCTTAAACTCTTTGGAGCTCGAGGCTGGTGTGACATTCAAAGACTTTTGTGCTGGAAAGGTGAGCAGGTACCTGTGTGAATTTCCAACTGGCTCAGCATGGGGTCTGTATCAACAGAGCCAGGCTCCAAAATAAGAAATCAAAGATTCCAAAAGCCAGGGGTAGGCGTGGGGAGACACAGTAGTCCCTGATGGCAAGTCTCCCCTCCGGTGGAGTACTGGAGAGGTAGGGGCTGTCCTGCAGGTTTACAGTAGGAGCTACATGAGCTAATCCTTCCAGGGCCTTGGGGGCCTCTGAGGCACCCATCATTTCTCCTGGATTGCCTTATCTGGGGAGCAGCGGAGGCAGTTTCCAAGTGCTGGGTAGCTTGGCAGGGCTATTCCCTAGATGGCCTCCAGATGGCGCTAGAGTGATACGGTGGGAAAGGACGGTGGTGGGAGGGGCGTGCAGAGAGGATCCTAGCTTTGCCCCTTCTCTAGCCTGCTCCAAGCTGGTATCAGGAGGAGGTGGCATTCACAAAGTCACTTCATTCTTTTCCTACTTCCTGGTGGGGCACGAAACAGCCCTTGTTTTGGGGGCCAAGAAGTACTCCCTCAGGGCAGAAGAGGTGCAGTGTTTGGGGTGGACCAATGCCCTGTCCTGCCACCCTGTCCTGGCAGCTCAAGTCATTTCTTTCATCTTCTGGCAGTTGGATCTGCAGGACTCTTGCTTCAGAGTCTTGCAGCGCCCATATCTGGGAAGTGTTTCCGGACCACACTCTCCCCCACAGGCTGGCTCCCCACATGCTCTTCCCCAAGTCACGCATCTTATCCCTGGGCTGGAGGATGGCACTCTGGACTCTTTAGAGCCGAGACTGGAAGTGGAGGGGACAGTGCAGGTTTGAAACTAGACTCGGTTTCTGGCCATTACCAGTGAGCGGCTCCTCCTGGGATCACCTGAGCATAGAGCACTCAGGTGCTTTCCCTGGAATATCTCATCTTCTTAGCACTTCCTCTTTGAGAGACGAGGACAGTGAAAATAAGAGACACACCTGAGGTTACGGAGTGAGATGGTGTGGGCAGAACCTGTGCCTGGGACAAGAGACCAGTGTGAACTGCAAGCCCTGTTACCCGTCTTGGACACCCAGTTCCTACCTGCCAGGAGAGTCCAGGCCCATCTGATTCCAGAGCTCCTGCTCCCTCACCACTCTTCAGCTCCTCAGTCCCTCTTCCTCCCAGGATCTTGGCTTCAATGTCTTCAACACAGAGAAATTAGCCCTAAAGGGGGCTCAGGGCAGTGGGAGTAGTGACACGGAGAGCCCCTCCTGGGGACCTGGGCTGAGGTCCGGGAAGCCATGCTGGTGGAGAGGGGCACTGGGCCTGCCTTGGAGTGCTGGGCCCTGCCTGCTGTTGGCCAACTCATCCAGTCCTCCTCTCAGCGGGTTGCCCTGCCCACAGCACTGGAAACTTCCTTTCAACGGCTTCTGGGAGTCCCAACAGCTGTGTGTGGGGTGAATTTCTACCTCCTCTTTCTGCAAGGGTTCCCCACCTACGACCTTGCTCTTTAGCCAGCAGCGCTCAAACTAACCTGATCAGAATCAGCTGGAGGGCTTATTGAGACAAATGGCTGGCTCCACCCTAGAGCTTCCAATTCATTAAAGCTGGAGGGACCCCCAAACCTTGCATATTGAACAAGTTTCTAGAGGATACTGACACTGTTGGTCAGTAGTGGGCACCAGAGGATGAACTCATCAGGTCTGGGTTGTCTGAATCCTGCATGTTCCAAACAAAGATTTGGCCTTTGCTTGCCTCCTGGGAAATAACCCTTCAGCCCTGGAAAGATCCTGCCTGATCAGAGTGTCTTGGCTTCCCTGTGGGCCTTGGGCCACCCCAGATAGTCTGCACTAACAATGTCATTAATGGGGCCTCCCTGGTGGCCTAGGGGTTAAGTCTCAGCGCTACCATCGCGAAGGCCCACTGCGACACACTGAGTTCCATCCTGGCCAGGGAGCTACCCACATGGCGCAGCAGACCTCTCCTGTCTCGCCCGCTGCTCCCTCAGCAGTGTATTTCAGTCAGTCTGCCTGTTCTGCTCCCCACTCTGTCTCTGGTGAATCCTCTCACCCCCTGGATTGCACCTCAGTTCTTCTATGCAAAAATAAAATCTTAATGTGATTTACATGGGTGAACTTGGGCCACGGGGTCCTGATTTAACCTCTGGAGGGGCTGGAGACTGACCACCCACCCACATATCTCACATTGCTGGGAGGATGAGGGGCTGTCTCTAAGGTTCCCCTGGGAGCGGACACCTGGAAGCTCACACTTGGGCTCTCTGGGCCCCTGTTCTGTGACTCACTGTCCTTTGCTGGCTTTAATTTGCATCCTTTTACCATAATAAACAATAACCATCAACACAGGAGCTTTGCTCAGTTCTGTGTGTCCTAGAATCACTCAACCTAAGTCTGGTCTCGAGGACCCCCAAACAAAACCACATTTTGATAAACTCTGCTCTGTACTGAGGGATCAGCCTCTCTTGGATGCCTTTGCTTTAGGCTTTGGGGTTCCCTCATCAGTGAAATGCCTTATGACCTGGCCTGAGGGTCACCTTTAAGGAGTGCTTTGGCCTGGACCCCAGGCGTCTCACCTTCACAGATTGGGGTTCAGGAGGCTGTGAACAGCACAGAAACCTGGGTGTTGCTTTGTGGGGTTGCCCTGAATTGTTTTCCTGTGTCACTGGGTTGGAGCAGTTCTGTTCTGGGTATGACAGGCCCTCCCCCAACTCCGCCACCAGCCGTCCCCCCTTACCCCAAGCAATCCCATACAGCAAAGCTGGTAGACAATATGCTGAGTAGTGGGCAGATGCGATATGTCTCCCCACTTCCAGCCACCAGATCTGTCCATTATAGCCCTACACCCCTGAGCCCGGGCCCCAGAGTGGGAGAGCCACAGGTTTCGAGCACTGCTGCCCCTCCTGGAGCCGCTCTCAGGGCAGCACCCATATTCCATGGTACTTGAACCCTCTCTGTCCCATCCTGTCATGGCCGAAGACCAGGTCCTCAAGCCAACACAGGGAGGAAGGCCCCTCGGTGCCTGCTGGTTATGTGGCTTTATTCACAGACTCAGCATTTGCTGAGGATGAAAGGAAAGAACATTTGGGATCAGGCTGGGCCTGGGGATAAGGGCGGCTGAGAGACCATGCACGGGTCGGGCTCGGGCGCTCACAGAAGGGAACCTGCTGACTGGGCCAGGTCTACACGGGGCAGGGCCAGAGCAGGCAGCATGCAGGGTGCCTGGTTAGCTCTGCACAGAGCGGAGCTACCCAGGTGTCAGCTGTGAGCGAGGGAGGGATGGTGAGGGTTTTTCTGGGCCAGGGTACAGGAGTGGGGCTGGGCAGCAGGCACCCTGGCCCTCACTTGCAGGGAAATGGCCTAGTGGGACAGTCAGGACACCTGGTGCCTGGTCCACACTCTGGGGCTCGAGGTGTGACGAGCCACGCTGATCCCGCTGGTGTCATTGTCCTGCTGATGCTTGGCCATTTGCCTTGGGAGCGACCCACATAGGGCCTGTGGAGACATATGCAGGGAGGCTCACCATCCAGGAGAGTGTGCCGGGGTCCAGCAGAGTGGACTGTGCCTGTGGAGGGAGAAGCTCCCTGCTCAGAGGGTGCTCCCTAGGAGTCACGCTTTCCTTGCCACCCCACCCCACCCCGTGTGGCCCCAGAGGGTGCCATCTCCCACTGCCACCCAGGCCAGCCACCGGGCCAAGGGTGACTGAATGGTAAACCTTCCTTCTCTTGGCCTGCCCTGCTGGCTCTAGAGGGACTTCCTGCCTGAAGGCAAACAAGGAATCCAAAGCCCAGATCCTCCTCCTGGCCTTCTTCCTGGTGAAGAGCCCGTTCCTATCCAGCAGTGAACAGAAAAACCAGTTTCCCAGCTTCTGCCCCCTGCCTGGGAAGAGCGAAGTTTGGAAAGCTGGCAGGGTCTCTCTGGCTGTCCAGGAAGGTGACCTAGGGGCCTGGGAGGCCTGGCGAGGCCGGAGCAGAGCCCTGGGGCTGAGGCCACAGCCCCTGCCTGCTCCTACCGGGCTCACCCGGGACCTGGGGTGGAGAGATGCAGGCGAGGGGCCATCAGCACTGGCGGGAAGGGGTGCGGTGCACAGAGCCGGGGCGCTTGGGAATCTTGCGCCAGCGTCGCTTGTCCCAGCGGCAGAGCAGCAGCAGGCGGAAGGTGTCCCGGAAGGCCTTGTTGCAGAGCGCGTAGCACATGGGGTTGATGGTGCTGTTGACGTAGCACAGCCAGTAGCCCAGCTCCCACAGGGTCTCGGGGACACAGTCCTTGCAGAAGGTGGACACCAGCACCATGATGTTGTACGGCGTCCAGGTGAGGATGAAGGCCAGCAGGATGGCGCTCAGGGTCCGAGCCGCCTTCTTCTCCTTGACCAGTGAGAAGGTCTTCCGCTTGGCCAGCTGCTCCTTCCTGCGGGGCTTCTGGCTCTTGCCGGCTCGCTCACGCCCTTTCCGGGTCGGCCTCTTGACTGTATTCGGGGAGCTCCGGGGGGGCTGCTTGGTGGGAGCCTGTGCCTCCGGGTCCACCATGGGCATCTTGATCACCACCTCGGAGCCTGGCTCCTCGCCCTCGGAGGAGGTGAGGGACTCCATGGAACCTTCGTCCTCCTCTTCTTCCTCCTTCCAGCTGTAAGCCTGCAGCAGCCTGGGGGCCCGGCAGCAGCGGCAGCAGCGCCCTGGAGGGGTGTCTGGGGAGCCCTCGGCCCCCGGCTGAGACCGTTCTGAGCTGCTGCTGCTGCCACCCCCCTTCCCAGGAGTCTCGGAGCCCTGCAGGGCCGCCAGCTCCCGGGCTCGGTTCTCTGTCTCCCGGTAGATGCGCCAGTAGAGCGTGCACATGACCGTGACAGGGAGGTAGAAGGCGGCCATGGCTGTGCCGAAGGTGATGATGGGCTGGGAGAGGAACTGGATGTAGCACTGCCCAGCCCCCACCGTCCGCTCCCCCACCAGGTACTGCCAGAAAAGGATGGCTGGGGCCCAGAGGACGAAGGAAACCAGCCAGGCAAGGCCGATCATCAGGGCCGCCCGGCGGGGTGTGCGCTTGGCTCGGTAGCTCAAGGGCCGGGTCACGGAGAAGTAGCGGTCGAAGCTGATGAGCAGCAGGTTCATGACGGAGGCGTTGCTGGCCACGTAGTCCAGGGCCAGCCAGAGGTCGCAGGCCAGCGTGCCCAGGGCCCAGTGGCCCATGAGCAGGTACGTAGTGTAGAGGTTCATGGAGAAGGTGCCGATGATGAGGTCTGCACAGGCCAGGCTCAGCAGGAAGTAGTTGTTGACCGTCTTGAGCTCTGTGTTGACCTTGAAGGAGATGAGCACCAGCAGGTTGCCCGTCACAGTGGCCAGCGACAGGAGGCCCGTAGTGATCCCGATGAAAGCTAGCTGCCAGGGACCCCTTCCCGGGGCCAGGACGGTGATGTTGGGGCTGACGGCGGGTGGGGCCGAGGTATTCATGGTGGCTGGGGGGCCTGGGGGCAGCCCCTTCCTCTAGTCACGCTTCCGGGCTTCCTCAGTGGGAGGTCATCACCTGAAACGAAAGGACACGGACTTGGGTCGGGCTGCTGGCTATCTGTGATGGCCTGTGGTGGACAGTGTAGGAATAGGGCCTCTCGGGGCGTTGGGCCAGAGAGCGTCACCTCCTCCAGAGGTGACAGTCATTTATAATGCATTTCCCAGCCCCAAGTACTTGGTCATCAGCACAGGGAACAGGGTGCTTTGGAATCCAGGGCTCTTGAGTCCTCACTCCTGCTTCACCACTCAGTCTGGAGCCTCAATTTTCTCATTGGGAAATTGCTGCTAATTCCAATCTTGCTTAAGTCAGGAGGCAGGAGTCGGGAGACTTGCTTTGTAGACAGCACTGCTAAATTTTCAAAGCATTTCAGTCAATTTCATTACTGCTCTTATTCTCTGAGGAGTTACTACATACCAGACACAGCGCTAAGCACTTCATCGAATTAGCTGATTTAACTGTCGGACGTCTCCAGGATGGTCTCCTAGGCTCCCCACTTCACCGTGAGGCTGTTGCGGTTCTGAGCCACGAGACCTGGCCACCGTGACATGGTCCGGGCAGGGTGACAACCCCTCTCTCTTTCTCCTTCTGCACGTGGAGCTGCATGGGGACTCTGCCATTGAACAAGAGAGGGGAGGCTGCAGAGGGGCCTGGGGGAGAGATGCATGTGAGTGTGTCTGTGTGTGGGTGTGGAGTGTCTGTGTGTGTCTGTGTGACAGCGAGAAAAGGGCTGTGTCTGGGGTTGGACCAGACCCTCCCTAAAGGCAGCAGGGCAAGTAGTGTTGGGCCTGAGCCTGGCTGGGTGGTAAGAAGGTCTGGAGGAAAAACAGGCAGCAGGGGGAGGGCCTTGGCTCCCAGATAAGTGGGGGTCTGGCCCCAGATGGGGCGTGGGAGGCCTCCTCCACCTCCCCACTCTGTTCCCGGGCCCCAGCTGAATGGGGGACTGCAAGGGGAACGGGGAGGTTCCCCAGACTTTTCTGGAAGCTGGAGTCCATCCAGCCCAGACATGAAAGGTGGGTAAAGAGAGAGGCCAGGAGCACGCCTAGAAATCAACTGGCTGGGTAGGGGGCCCACAGCCAGGGAGGCCAGTTTGAAGGGTGGGGGTCCAGGCCAGCTCAGCCCTACGCTCTGTTTTGGTGGGTCCCTTGCTGTGGAGGGAAGAGTCCACCTCCTCCTACCTGCAGCTGGGAAGACTCAAGGGAGAGGTGGGTCAGGACCCACCAAGCCCTGGTTCCTGGGGAACTGTCTGTGACAGAGAGATGAGAGTGCTGTGCCCATGAGGGGTTGCTGTGTGATGGATGGCCTGGGGGCATGTGGCTGGGATGGAGTGTGAATCCAAGTGCCTGTGGCCGAGGGCATCTGCCACTGCTTGTGTGTGTGTGACAGCGACTCTCAGTTGCTTAGTTTGGGGAGGGACACGCAGCCTGAGGATGAGGACTGTGAGCATGAGCTGCGAGTCTGGGACCATTCATCCCGGTTGAAGGACCCTGGCTTTGGAGCGGGACCATCTGCATCAGAATCCAAGCTATACCATTTTACTGGGGTGTGATCTCTGCTAGTGATAGGAGCACTCTGTGCCCAAGGCCCATGCTAGTCGCTGGCGCATAGATCCAGGCATGACTGTGAAGCTGAAACACATCACAGGACATAAAGTGCCCAAGAACAGCCCCGGATCATGGGGAGCGCTGGGGACCTGTGAACACTAGCACGCGCAGCAGTGAGGTCTCCCTCCTGCTTAGGGGTGTCTGCTTCTTTGATTAAACATTTCTGATATGATAATACCATCAACTAATAATAATACTGATCGTTGCTGTTATTTGGGGCTCCCCAAGTGCCAGCTGCTGCTCATAGTGCTGGTGCTTCTTATCTCAGTCTTAGCAGGGAAACTAGGATTGAGGGTTTGCCTTCTCCCCATTTTGCAGATGAAGAAACTGAGGCTAAGAAGTAAGAGACTTTGCACAAAGTCACACAAGGAAGGTAGGAACCAGGCTTCAAGCCCAGGCAGATTGTTCCAATGAAACTTTATTGACAAACACTGATGGGTGAGCCTAAGGGGTGGGGGTCACAGTTTGCCAATTTGGATTTTACAAATTTACGTTAAAATCTCATTTATCTCAGGCCTCCCTGGTGGTGCAAGGGTTTAAGTACAGCACTGTGAAGCTATCCACAGCCTCTGCAGCATGGATTTGATCCCTGGCCAGCCAGGGAGCTGACCCACATGGCGCAGCAGACCTCTCCTGTCTCACCCACTGCTCCCCGCAGCAGTGTATTTCAGTTAGTTTGCCTGTTCTGCTCCCCACTCTGTCTCTGGTGAATCCTTTCACCCCCCACACTTCTGGCCTGTACCCTAGTTCTTGTATGCATAAATAAATAAATCTTAAAAAAAAATCATTTATCTTGCTTACTGAGTTTTGCTGCATCCTCCTCCCTTAATGATGTCAGGCAAGCAGGGCTGGAAGCTGGGCCTAGACTGTGCCCTCAGGGGATGCCCAGTACAATTCTTGCCCCTTTGATCTGAACTCAGCACAGCTTAATTGCCCCAGGCACAAATGGAGCAACTGAGGCCCAGAAAAAAGGTCTCCTAGTTCTTGGATTGAGCTTCTCCTCCTCCCCAATTTGGGTGCCTGAGAACAGCCCTGTAGCCCCCCTGGCACTCCAGGTCCTGGGCAAGGACCTGTAAAGTCTGCATCAGACCCTTCAGATGTCAGGGCCTCCTGGGACGGATGCCCAGGGGTGTAGCCTCTCACACCAGCTAGGCCGCTCACCATTCCTGCTCCTGACACTTTAGCAGGGAGACGATTCAGGCCAGGCGAGTAAGGCACTTGCCTCGGGTGCAAAACTGGAGGTGCCCCAAAACTCAGTCATCAAGAAAATAATATTTTAATATGATACTTAAACAATGGAGATGGATGCAAAAAATCCATCATGAACAAAATTTTCAGCAGAGACAGGATCCACCCTGCACTTGCACAAACAGCCCTCTCCCCCGTGCTCCCCCTCATCCTGGCCCTGTCTCCAAAGAAACTTTTATTTACAAAAACAGACAGCCTGCCTGTGGGCTGTGGTTGGCTATTTGATTTTTTAAAATATTATATTACATTATTATTTATCTTGATTAGTGAATTATTTTGGTGTCCCCCCCCCCAAACCCCATTTTGCTTACCCTAATTCCAGCCTTGTGGACCACAGCCCTGGATCTGAATCTCCAAACTGTCCTTCCCTAACTGTGTGATCATCAGCAATTATTTAATCTGTCCTTCCCTTGCTGCCCCAGATCCCCCAGCCGATGGGGATTATAGCTTCTAAACGCCTGGCGCTAAAACAGACACTCCATTAAAGGGCTCTGTTATTCACTCAAACTCCTCATTCTGATCCGCAGCCCAGTGCCTCTTGCCATGCCCCCTCCCATCCTGACTCTGGACATGGCTCTGCTCTGGTTCCCAGTTTGCTCATTATACACTGGACCAGCCTGGTGACTGGGGAGATTGTACAAAATCCTGAAACTAACCTCTTAAGAACAGGATGGACCAGGCCCCGAGATGGGGTCTGTCTTCTGGACCAGGAGTGACTTGTACTCAAGGTGGAACAGGGTAACCTCCACCCATCTTAAGCTCTTGTTGGAAACTAACTGCTCAGGAATTAAGAAAAGGCTTTCATAGTGGGGACCAGTGAGAAGTGGTGGTCCTCAAAGTGAGGAAATGGGAAGACCCTTTCTTTAATGCCTGGAAGCCCCTCTAGCTCTCTCATTTTAATAACAACACGACAGCTCCATGATCAATCACTTCCCGCATGGTGGGCACTTGATATAAGATATTATTTCCCTTAATACGTAGGGTCCCCTTATGGGGACTTCTTTTTGTTTTGTACATGAAGGGGCTAAGTGACCTGCAGAGAGAGAGTGGGGGATTCTGGGAATTCTGGGGAGAGCTGGGGATTCTGGCCAGAATGTGGGCTCAGAGACCACCACTCTCTGCCCTACCTAGGAGCTATGGCCTCCCATGTGGGCTAAGGGTGGGGGAGAGGGGGGAGAAGGGCAGAAGTCTGGGGAAGTGGATCCTGCCTGTCCTGGATCTTCTGGGGCCCTGCTCTGCAGCTGATGACTCTCTCTGTCCTCCTCAATCAGATGTGGGGTTCCTCCCTCAAACCTCTCTTGGACAGCGATTTGCTCAGAAGGTTCCAGGAGGTCTGCTTTGGCCCCTGCTGTGTGACCTTGGACAAGTCTTCTTAACTCTTGATAGGGGTCAAGACTTGGCTTCCTGGGATTCTGGCTGATCCCCCGGGGAGGGGTTGGATGGGCTCCCAGCTGACAGTCGGGGTGCCGGGGTTCAGTAATGGCTCCTGAGTTTCTATAAAGGAGGGGCATTGGGTCAATCATATGGTTGAAAGGGGGGCTTGAAGTTGTGTTTGCATTGTATATTCTGTGAAAACATCCATGGGGGTGGGAGGAATTCGTTGACAGGATTGTAGTGGGTGTGGGGGAGACAGCCCAAGGATGTCCTCTGCCCTGCCTCTGCCTAGCTTCAAGCCCTGTGTCTGTTCTTGTCTTGCTCTGTGACCTTGGGCAAATCACTGTCCTGACCTGGTAGCCTTTGGGTAAGATGTGCTGTGTGCGAGAGTGTGTGAACTGTCCAGGGAGAATAGCAAGAGGTAGGGGTGAGTCTCTGGCTCTGTGGGGCTGGGTTGGGACTCATCCTCTGAGGGTGTTGTGTCTGGAATATTGGAAGTGAGCAAGGAAGTGGAGAGGCGCTTCCTGCCCAGGTCTGGGGCCCCCTGGTGAAGGTTCTGGGACCTTTAAATGATATTATTAATACTATCACAGCAACTGATATTTACTGTCTGCTTATCATATACCAGACATGACTCTAAGTGTTCCATACATGATCTAATTGACCTATGAAATAGGTTCCATTATACCCAATTTGCAAAAGGGCAACTGTGAGGCGTGGCGACCTCGCAGGCTTTCCAGCTCCTTGGTGAGGCAGCATGATTGGGAGGAGGCGGTCTGCCTCTAAAGTCAGACTCCTGGTGCCCTGCTCTCGACTGCTTTTGTGGGCAAGAGGTTTCACAGCCTCCTTACCCACCTTGACAAGCTGGGTCAAACCCAGGTTTGAATCAGTCGACAGTGAGCAGTCAGCTCTGCCTTTCGAGTCTGGCCTGTGTGTGTGTGATGGTGTCTGTTGTGTGTCTGGGTGATGCATGATGACAGCGTTGCGGCAAGGGGAGAGTGCACTGTCACTCTTGGAGAGGAGGGTAGGGACGGGGTCTGCCTTATTCACTGCTTTGTTCCAGTGCTTGGCACACAGTAGTTGCTCAATAAATTAAATATGTGAAGGTGCACCTGGGGGCGCTCTGCTTGGTCCTCAGACCCAGGGGCAGGAGAGCCTTGGGTGTGGGGGATCAGGAAGTTTCCAGAGTAGGGTCCCACTGCTCCTTCCAGTCCCTATATCTCCTCTGCTGGGTCCCTATTCCCCAGTGAGGCTGGGTCTGACTTGGGCGCCCAGGAGAGAAGCAGGTGCATGCATATGTAAAATGGCCAGGGAAACTGCTGTGTGCTGCAGGGGAGCACAGGGCTGGGACAGGACAGGTACAGGCGTGGGATGTGCCTGTCAGGGTGGGGGGAGGAGAAGTCAGCCTGGACGCAAAGAGTTAAGGGATGAGGTCAGAGCCTCCAGCAGGGCAGGCCAGACTGTTGACCGCCAGCGTGCCCTGGACCAATCCCCAGGGTCCAGGGCTCTGGCTGGTGAGGAGGAGGGGGTGGGGAGAGAGCCCAAGCTAGAGGCAGGGAGAGATGGCTGGGGAGAGGATTCCTGAACACTCGGGCTTGTGGAAACTTCCCACTAGCCAGGAGTGGAAAAGGGAGGCAGAGAGTGAGGGGGTGTTGGAGGAGTGATTCAGGAGGGGGAGTGGAGCCATCTTGTGATTCTGGGCCTGGAAGCTGGCAGCACCCTGACCCAAACAAACAGGGATATTGGGAAGCAGGAGGTGAGGCCCAGGGACCGTGGGGACCTGGGGCCGGGCACCAGGGACCTCACGCCAGCAGGGAGGAGGTTGCTCCTCTAGCCGTCTCCTAACCAGTCGCTTCTGCTGGGCCCATGATCCAGAAGCCAGCCCTACAGATCCTGCCCTCTCACCCCTGGGGCAACTTCTCTGAAGGAAGCTCTTAGCCCACAAAAGGTGAACAAACTTCTACCTCTGGTGCCTGGTCTTGGGATGAGAGGGTAAGCGGGATTTGTCTCCTTTTTGGGCTCAGCAGTCACCACTGGGAGCACCAACCAGTTCTGGAGAGGGCAGCGGCCATCAGTTAAATGCTCATAAGCGCATTGTGAGCCGGAAGGAGGAGGCTGAGCCCTAGAGCCACTGCCAAGCACAGTCAGTGTTGACGGATCCTCACCAGGGCCTGACTTGAGCTGGACCATGCCAGAGTCTGGCAGGTAGTGGGCAGGGCCCTGAACCTCACTCTGCCAGGTGGTAGCAGAAGTGCTGAGCTCCTCATCCTCCCCTCAGCATGCCCCCTGCTCTTCCCTCCTTGCACTCCCCTCCCCATTTCCTTTCTTCTCTCTCCTCCCTCCCCCACCCTCCTAGGCATCACCATGGCACCACAGCAGAACAGAAACCCAGTGTGATGCTCACCCACCTCTCCCACCCGCCCGCCCGCCCGCCAGGAGCCCAAGCTCTGCCTCTTAGAGCTCCCTGCTTACCCACCCCAGGGAGGTGGGGGTGCAGCACTGCCCTGAGGGAGAAGAAGGGGGTCCAAGCCCCTCTGGATCCTGAAATATTCCTTCTGGGGCCATGAGCATGTTCGTTCTTGCTTCTCAGACTTGGTTCCTTTTGAGGTGTGACGTGACCTCTGCCCCACTCATATATACACCCCTTGCGCAGAGGACCTCTGACCTCTGGACTCCTGGGCCCAGAGGGATCCAGTTCTCATCCCAGAGTCTCACTGCTTGTGCCCTCCCCTGCCTTCTCTATCTCCGCAGCGCTTGCCCAGCGGCTGAGGTCAGGGGGCAGAGAACCAATTTTAAGCTGACAGCTCAGTGAGCAGCTGATTACCCGGAGACAGGCGACTGTGACTGCAGGAGACATTCTGATTGCTTCCGGTCAGCTGGACAGGGGGCCCGGGTCAGTCTGGGTGGAGCTGCAGATATGTTTTGTGGCAAAGGTGAACCCCTCTCCACTGACCCTAGTACCCTTAAGCAGCACTCATCTGACTGACCCCGCGGAAGCTGACTGCCCCCTCAGCTGCCAGGCCAGGAGCTGGCAATTCTGCAAGAACTGGAGCGCCTGGCCCCCAGCCCATCCCCACATTGTGGAGTCTGGAGTGCTGGGATGGGCACCTGGCATGGGTGCCTATTAGTGTCCATGCATTCCCTGACCCTAGAACTGAGACCTGCCTTGCATGCGGGAGCCCAAAAAACTAGCTATAAGGAGGGTCCCCTGGGCCCTGCACTGGCACAGTGGTGTGGCCGTCCATGTGCCCATTCGTCCCCGGAGAGCCCTGGGGCTCTTGGTCTGGTCTCCTGCTGATTTCTGACCCAACACCCACCTTGGCATCCAGCTCGTCCGCCTGGCCAGCAGCCTGGTTCAGTCCATCTTGAGGGGGCTGAAGGTGGATGGGGGTGGTGGGATTCAGGGTTTCCTGAGGGAGGAGAGGAGGAGGTTCTGGGATTGTCACCCCAACTGGTTGTGGTGGGGGGGTCAACCTCCCTCAGGATGTAGGTGGCCAGGGTTACCCCCTGGCCCCCTGGTCTTCCCATTCTGCCCCTTGCTTCTGGGGGCTCTGCCTGCTAATTGGCAGTCTAAGCCCTTCAGAACTCCGGGTCCAGTTTCCTAAGGGGGGTCTCCAGCTCCTCTGCCAGCTGAACCCCAGAAAAACATCAGCAGTAACCACTCAAAGCAGAGTGTTTAGAGCAGCCAATGTCCACTGCCATCAAGCCCCTTGGCCTCTAGACCCCTCCCTGGCCCCTCCTCTCTCTGGGGTCCAGCCCTATTTCTGTCTAGTCCTGGTCTCTGCCTTGCCCCCAGGACCTTGCTTCTCCTACCCCCACCTCTGTTTAGCCCCTTCAAGTCCTTCCAAATGTACTCACCATGGGGCTGGGGAGAGGTCTGCAGGGTCCTCCGTCCCACTGCCGCCCCGGGGGCCGGCGGTGTCTCCAGGGACCCAAACACCTGGCTCCCGGGGGGAGCTGCGCCCTGTGCTGGCAGCCGGAGAGGCACAGCCGGTGATTGGCATGTCCCACCCCCTGGCACGCCAGCCTGGGGGGGGGAGGGAGGAAGGGAGAGAGAGGGAGGGAGGAAAGGAAAGAAAGGAAGGGAGGGGGGAACTGGAGGGAAGCTCAGGCAGCGTCTGGGGTTGGACTAGGTCCTGGCATATGCCCCCCTCTTCTACCAGGGCACCCAAGTCAAGCCCAGAGAGGGAGGGGGCAGGACACGAGGAAGACCAGCCCAGGAAGGCTAAAAGTCCAGCATGGGAGAGAAGGCGGATACCGGGAGACAAACACCCACACCCACTGCACATAGACTCCGCGGCACACACACCCTCACAAAGGCACACTCTGTTTCCCAGGCTCCTGCCCCCACCCCCCCTAGAGCCCCCTACCCTTGTGCACCCTGCCCCAACACACGCCCCGGCGTTCACATGCCCGTTTCCCTCACACACACGCCCTGCCCCTCGCACATGCCCACGCGCCCAGCCGCCCACCCAGCCCCACACCCTGCTCTTCCTCCCTGCTGCGAAGGAGCTGGATTCCTTCTGTTTGGAAATGACACATTGGGGCTCACGTGAGAGGCTCCAACTTGGAACAGACCCAGGGGGCCGGCGCACCCGCCTCGGGGCTGAGTGGACTTGCCCACGTGTGGGCTGTGGCTGGGAGCTGGATGCCCACCTACGCGGCCTGGGGGTGAGGGCTTGCGGGGAGGGGAGAGTGTGGCTGCTCCTCGGGCTGCAGCCGGGTGCCCTGCGCTCCTGTCCTGAGTAGGCAGGTTGCCTGTCAGCCCGTGGAAAGCAGGTGTCACCCTGTGGGTCTGGAGCCGGGACGCGTGTGTACACATGCGTCTGTATTCGGTGTGTGTCTGAGTGTTGCCCAACTGTGGAACGTGCTGATTCTGACAAGTGAGGCAGCCTCTATCTCCCTGCCTGCTCCACCTCCAGCTTCCACTTGGAAGACAGACAGACAGGCAGACAGACAGCTCTCCTCCCAGCTTGTCAAACTCTGTCTCCCCTGACTCCCACTCAAGACTCACAGGTGTGTACCTGGGAAGTGACGCACCTGCCCTTCCTCCCCACCTCCGGGGCCCCCTGCTGCCTGGCCAGCACTCCTCCCCCCTAGGCTGGTTTGGATTCCTGTGTTGAGTTTCCTCAGCAATAGAACCCCTGGGGGGCCCTTTGCCATGGCGATCTGGGTCCTGCACCACCTTCACCTGGCCCTAGCGGCCTCCCGGGGAGCTGGCCATTGAGGGGGGTGGGCAGGCTAGTGCTCAGGCCGCTGTGTCCTTTACCCCACTGGGCCATGCTGAAGCCTGGGGGTGGAAGGAAGGAAGGACTGGGGTCACCCAGTCTCCCATTATGTAGATGAGAGAACTGGAGAGCAGAGCTGTGGTTAATCCGCGGTGGGCATGTTTGGATTTGGGTGCCCGGTTCTCAGCCCCTGCCCCATCATTCCCCTGCTGCCCATTTTCCCACCAAGCCCCTGACCACCCCTTGCTGATGCCTGAGGGTAACCTGGGGCTTCCTCACACTGAAGCCCAGTTGCCGTGGGAGCCAGGCGGGGCTGGCACTGGAGTTCCTGGGCCTTGGCCAGCAGCCACCGTTGCCAGTGGTGGGCACACGCGGCAGCACGTGTGGCGGCATCTCTGCTTCTCCAAGACAGCGGAGGCTGGAGCAGGCCCCAGGAGACACTGCAGTTGGGGGAGGCCCCTGAGACCCCCTCCCACCCCAGGGTCTGCCACCAGTCAGGGGTAGGTGGGAACTCCAGCTGGACCAGTTCTTGCCTGTGGGCGAGGACCGGAGCTGCCCCCTGCTGGGCTGTCCTGGGTTCTGCTAGCGCGGCTGCCAGCACTTGTGCGCGCACACGTGGCTCTGAGTGTGGGGGTGTCAGGCCTCCACGCTCAACATCCATTTCCGAGTCTGAATCAGGCTCTCTTCTGGCCCCCTCCCCCCAATCTCTTCGGTCTCCCTTTTCTCTTCTCCCACCGCCTCTGCACACGTCCCTTTAGAAATAAAAACACTTATTTTGTAGGTGGAAGAGGAGGGTGTCCAGCTTTTCCCTGCCTCCTCTTGAGTGTCCCTCTCTGTCCCAAACGGTTTTCCACTCAGGTCCGTGCAGCCCGGGAGACAGGGGGATGACGGCTCCCCCACCCCACCCCCGTGTGACTCTTCTCCGCCCAGACTTGGCTAGATTCCACGACCAGATGGGGAAACTGAGGCAGGAAGGGAGAAGGGAGGTAGGGCCGGGAGAAGCTCTCCCACCCGGCTCTCTCACCGCCCCCGCACCCGCGCCCGATTTAGCCGCAGGGAGGCTGGGAACATTGTCTTTATTTTAAGCCGCCGAGTGCCGCACGAACGCGGCTGCTGGCGACAAAGGGCTCCGCGAAGCAGCGGCAGGCGGCGCACGTGGGGGTCCGGCCCCGCCCCCGCACGGCCCCCCGCGACCCTGCAGCGGCCCCACCTGACCTCAGTGCTCTCTTCTGCCTGGCCGGACGCGACCGGCTGGCGCAGGATCTTGCGGGTTGCTGTTTTGGGTCTCTGGGAGGAGGGTTTCCTCCTCCAGGCAGGCCTCCGAGCGAACCCGGAGTGGCCCTTCTGAGGCTAGACCTCCAGGCGCCCCCCGGTGCGTCCTGCGCGGCCTCCCCACTGTGAACCCCCCTGGGCCCTGGCAGCCCTTTCAAGGTCTCCATTTCTTCCTCAAGCCCTGGGTGTTAGAACTACCCCCTGACAGGCCTGTTGGACGATCAGTTGCAGGTTAAACGGGGCCCCGGCGCTGGCCCGAGGTGGAAGCTTCACTGTTGGTATTTATAGCTCCCGCTGAGCGCGGGCGCAGGGCGCGGGCGCTGCTGATAACTGGGTCCCCAGCCGCTCCGCCGCAGCCTCTGCTCTTCCCATTGTACAGATGAGCACATTTACAAGCCCAGCACCCCCGGCTCCCGAAGGTGTGGTCACCGCGCCTGGGGTCGTCCCGCGACTGGCATGGGGTGGGAGTGCGTGGGCTGCAGGGACCGCTGGAACAGCATTTTTTTTAGAAGGTGGGGGGCTTTTGGTTCGAGGCAGTGGGGGGTGGGTGGGGAGGCGCCTATGGTGTGAGCTCCCAAGGCCCTCCTCACCCTCAGGGGAGTCAGAAGCTCAGACCCACACAGACTTGCACTTCCCAGGGCTGCTTCTGTGTCTTGGGAGGGGACAGGTGTGCACGGTCCTCCTGCCCCCACCGGGCATGAGAGCCGAACTGGCTGTCCTCAGTGCTCTGGGGAAGGGCGCGGCCCGGGTGTGGGAGGTGAGCTCCACTGGAGTCCAGGTGGACAGAAGGGCAGTGCTCCTTGCCTGCCCGTTGCTTTGGGCTCCCAGCCTCCCGGTCTTGGGGCTCCCCCTCTGCGTCCAACGCAGGAATGCCGGAGAGTCTCATTCCCAACTTTAAATGCAGAAACCAAAACCCAGGGCAGTGCCGCGGGAGGGCAGGCCTAGTAAGGGGCCGTGGACTTGTCGCAGCAGGCGAAAGTGACCACAACAAAGGCAAAATCTGGGGACAGGAAATCGGGTTTTCCGAGTCTGGTTCCGACATTAGGGGGAGTAGCCACAATCCCACTCCACGCACTGGGCCTCTCACCTCTCGGCCGGCCGGCCGTGTGCTGGGACTGTTGGCAGGTGTGCCCCCTCCCAGGGCAGGCGGGCAGCTTCCCGAGAACGAATGTGTTGGGGTGGTCAGGATCGGAGGTGGCTCCTGGCAGGCCCGGACCTGGGGGGAGCGCTCCCTGGTCCTTATAGCCGGTGGGTTGTGTTACCTGGGCGCTGGGGTTTGGGCCGGGAGCTGAGACAACGCCTCCCGGAGGCGTCTGGGATTCTTGGTCGACCCGGCAGGGCCGCGGGCAGGAGTTTCGTTCTTCAGCGCGTCCTCTGCCCAGCCAGTGAGGACGGGACCGCGGGAAGCAGGACACTTGCTAGACGCTCCCTGGACATGCAGCCGGATGGAGGACAGGCCCTTTGCCCCGTGGCACGGAGGCCGTGTTTCCTGCTCACTTCTCTATGGCCAGAAACTGCTCGAAATATCTGATTAGTGGTGTTAACTTTGCTTCGTCTGATTAGTGGACGTCGGGCCCTCAAGTCCTGCGCCACATGGCACAAGCGCCCTCGCCCACCACTAGGCGGGAGGGGAGCCGGCTGGAGAGCAGTGGGGTGGAGCTTTGGGTGGGAACTTGGGGTCGGAGCCCAGACCTGACCCCGACCCTAAGCAGCTTCTGCCCAGAGCTACACAGCTGGGGCAGCGCCCCCAGACACCTGTCGGGGTGAGACAGCGCCGGTTTCTGGGTCCCCTGCCCCCATCGGGCTAAATTTGTTTCCTTTCCTCATAAAACCTTAGCCGAGGACTCTCTCGTCCTCACCGGGGCCAGCGGGAGATCAAACTCGAAGCCCGCGAAGGGGATGGAGCTGGGCGAGTGGAGCGTGAGCTCGCGGGTTCTCCTGCCCACTTGTCAGCGAGGGCCTCGAGCAGGCACCACGGCGCGTCTGCGGGGGCTGGGCCCTTGCGCTCCCCAGCCGCTCAGCGCGAACCTCCTAAAGCCCAGCCTCCTAAGCCCGACCTTGGAAGGGCGTCGGCCTGGGTGCCCACCGCCCCGGGACGCCCGGGCCGTACCCACCGCCCCCTGCACCCCGCCCGGCCCCTAGCGGCCAGCCCAGGGCGTGCCCGGGAGGGGCGAGGCGAGGGCCCGGGGCCTGGTGCCCGGTTTCCTTCTTAGGCAGAGAAGCAGAGCACACGCTCCTTTAAGCCCTCGGCGCAGGCCTCCCCTTGGCAGCGGTTGGTAAAGGATAGTGCAGATCTAACTCGGAAGGTCACCCGAGATGGCTGCCCCTCAAGGAGCGCTTCCCACTGCCCTCCCCCGCCCCCCTTCCTACTGCCCTCCCCCGACCCCCTTTTCAAAAGCGCTTTTTGTGCCTTTCTTATTTAATCTGGGTAACAGCTCCGCGTGGGGTGGGGCTGCTATCACCCCATTTTACAGAACGAACTGCAGCGTAGAGAACATTAACTCTGCCCTCTCGTCTCCGTTACAGTCTGTGGTTCGGGCCCCAGCTTGGGAAGCTCTGGGACCTATTTGTAAGAGGGAGGGGTATGTCTGGAAATCGCTAAGCCGGTGCCCCCCCCACCCCCCTGCTGCTGTCACATGTGCGCACCAACTATGTGTCGGCACTGTTCTCGGTCTTCTA